CCTTAGTTTGGGAGCAGTTTTGCCACAAAGTTGATCAAAACACGATTTTTCAGACATTTGTGACCGTTTTGATCAACTTTGCGGCAAAACTGCTCCCAAACTAAGGCAGATAATCGCACTCCGTAACAAAAGCATGCTAAAGAAAGGTCTAAAGACCAATTGCCCGTTGACGGAGGACGATTTACCGCCTCGGATCAGACGCAGTGGATGCTTAAAGTCGGCCCAAAACACGATTTTTCACAGACATTTGTGACTGTTTAGACCAACTTTGCGGCAGTACTGCTTCCAAACTGAGGCAGATAATTGCACTCCGTAACAAAGGCATGCAAAAGGAAGGTCCAAAGACCAATTGCCCGTTGAGGGAGGGCGATTTACCGCCTCGGATCAGAAGCAGTGGATGCTTAAAGTCGACCCAAAACACGATCTTTTACACACATTTGTGACCGTTTTGATCAACTTTGCGGCATTTAAGCAGCCAGTGCTCGGCGTGTGGGCCAGCCGGGAAACCACCGCGACCCCAGGCGACCCCAGCCACCTCGCCGCGACCCCTCAAAATTTTTTTCGCGACCCCATTTGGGGTCGCGACCCCAAGGTTGGGAACCGCTGAGCTAGAGGGGCAAGTAGGGGCATTTTTAGAATCGGGGCAACGAGACAAAGGCAACGGTGCTAGTTTGGAGCGTATTTCTAGTGTTTGGGCGAGTCGATCAAGTTCCCCCCGACTTGCCCCCGAGTTACCCCTGAGTTCCCCCCGACTTGCCCCCGAGTTCCCCCCGAGTTCCCCCCGAGTTCCCCCCGACTTGCCCCTGAGTTCCCCCCGACTTCCCCCTGAGTTCCCCCCGACTTCCCCCCGAGTTCCCCCCGACTTCCCCCCGACTTCCCCTTGAGTTACCCCCGAGTTACCCCCGAGTTACCCCCGAGTTACCCCCGAGTTGACCTGGCCCTCAGTTTGTCAGGGGAATTGCCTCTCAGGTACTTAGCGCCACGAGGCCAGGCCCTTTGCCAGGCCGGCGGCGCGCGCTCCGTTTTGAGCGCAAAAACGGGGAACGCGGCACGCTCTGCTGGCCGGGCTAATTCAAAGTGTGGCGATGTGGCTGCGCCGCTGGGCACGGCGTTACGCCTCGCACTAATTCAATCGCTTGCAGGCGAACGAGTGCCTCCGCGAGGCGGCGGACGACACGCCGGACAACTCCTCCGGAGTTTTCTTATGACAAAAACTACAATCACAGGTTTTATACATATTTAAGGTCGCGCTGCTGTAAGATTTTTTTGCGTTCCTTTGTCTGCTGTGCGTATGCGAAGTGAGGTTTGCCAGTGGGGCATCTGCCCACCGGACCACGTCGGCGCCGTTGGCGCCAGGCTGGCCGGCGCGGCTGCCAGGCCGGTCGGCCGGTCCCGAAGCAGCCCGCGAAGCAGGCCTCCGAGTGGGAGCGCTGAAGCTGCTTCGATGCCGCCGCCTGCCCCATCTCGCAGAGCGCCGAGCACGCCAAGGCACTGAATGCCGACAATAAGGCACCGAGGTGGTGGCACCGCCGCAGCGCCGCCGAATTCAATATGAGTGCAGCAAAGGCCGTGGGCCGTACCGGTGCGCCGCGCCCCCAGTGTCGCCGCCCCGCCCCGCCCCGCCCCGCCCCGCCCCGCCCCATCCGGACCCCAGTCACACACGCGGAAGCCGGAAGGGAGCTCGGCGACGGGGATGTAGGAAGGCGGTGAGGACGCGCTGGGGGCAAAACACACACACACACCCTCACTCAAACACACAACCCCACACGCTTTCATCTGAGGCCGCCGCGCGGCGCGCAGGATTTGTTTTCTCTCCTCTCTGGGTCTTCTCGGACGAAGAGATGGGAAAGATGACGGTACGGCTGTCGTCGCGAGGCGCGGCCTGGGGCGGGGCGAGGCGAGTGGCGCCGCCGATTGGGAATTGGATCGGAATCGCATTGCTCAATAACCCGGCGATGCGGCCGCGTCGTCGCCTTGTGACGCCGTCAAGTTCGCCGTCGCCGTGCTATCCGCAGCGCCATTGTGTGTGTGTGTGTGTGTGAGCGTTGGAGTGAGTGAGGGTGGGTTGGGCCCGGTTGGGCCCCTTGGTCGCAGAGATTTGACACCCCAAGCCCACATACCGCGCGCCGCGCCGCGCACCGTGCCCGGGGCAGCGGAGCGCGGAGTTGTGTGGAGACGAATGTGTGCACCTCTACCTCACCGCTCCGCGCCGTTCCGCACCCGCGGCCCCCAGTCCCCCTCCGACTCCCCACCCCTTCATGCTCACCCTCACCCTGCCGGCAGACCGCACCAGCCCCTGCGTGCGAGGGGAACCGCGCCGTAGGCCGAGTTCTGAAGTCCAAATCATTTTGTTACTTCGTGATTCCGTTTTTCCCTCCGCCCGGCCGTGCTGTCCTGGACGTCGCGACGCCTGTTGGCCCTGTCGGCCGGCATCGCCACAGCGACGAACGTGGCTGGCGGTGTTGCCGGGCGCCGTGTATTCCTGCGCGTCGCCCGGATCGGCTCTGCCTGTCATTGTTAACGGCCTTCCGCATGGACAGGCTGCGCAGACTGGACAGACGGACGGCCGCAGTCGCAGACCGTCGCAGACAGGCGGGTCGGGGCCGAGTGATGTCCAGCGCAGCGCTCCACGCCGGGTCAGCCATTGCTAGACAGACAACCGGCGCCGCCGCGCTGAGCTGGACTCTGTGGCGCGCAGCGCGCAGCGCGCAGCCGTGAGATAGGCAACCCCTCGCACTCGGGCGCCGACGCTCCCTTCCGGGCGCGCTGCTCTGCACTCTGCGCACAGAGCCGACAGCCAAGCAGCTCCTTGTCGTGATTGACTTGGCCAAAGTCGCAAAGCCGCGCCGCAAGTTTTCTCTTTCCCCCGACGACGATGCACTGCAGTTTTGTCGCATGGCGACATGGCGACGAGTGACGCATACGGATGGCTCCGCCGCACGGGGCGATGTCAATGGATGGATGGATGGATGGATGGATGGGGATGGTGGACGCGTACGTGTGTGTATGTGTGTGTGTGTGTGTGTGTGAGTGTGTGTGTGAGTGAGTGTAAGTGCGGTATCGCGCGACGTGCTCTCAGCGAGACGTCGCACAAAGGACGACGCAGGGCATCGTTCCTTCGGGTTCCCTTTCGGGTTCCCTTTCGGGCCCCCTTCGGGCCCCCTTCCTCCCGGGGGATGGCGAGAGTGGTGGCGGGGCGGCGTCGCCCTGCATGAGCCCCGCCAGGTGTTCGGAAACGCGCCCCTCTCGCGATGCAATGCGCGGTGCTGCGCGCTGCGCGCCTCCCTGAATAACTTCTCACTCGAGGCGGTCCAGACTGAGTTATTGAACGCGTAGAGCGGCTAAATCTCTGCCGGAAAAAGGTGTGGCGAAACCGAGAGGCAAATGGGGCCGCGGCGAGTGGCCCTCGAGTGGGGCGAAGGACGAGAGGCACGGCAGTGGCACGGCGACGCGGACAAAGGGTGGCCCGGCTCCATTCGGCTTCCGTGGCCGCAACGTTGGCGGAACAAGCTCAAGCCTCATTTGCTGAGTGGTCCTCTTGTCCGCCTGCCTTCGGCGCCGGGCGTCGGTCCGGGCGTCGGTCCGGGCTTCGGGCTGGGCGGCGGGCGAGAGGAAGGCGACGGGGATGAGCGAGCGCATTAGGCATTAGGTCGGCGTGCTGCCCCAGCCTGCCCTTCCAGGCCCTGCCTTGCCGGCTTGCCCCTAGCTTCCAGTGGAGTGCGCGTTCAAGTGGGCGAGCCGATGAGCCAGCCCTCCCCGGCATGCCGACGGCCATGCCGACCGGGCCGACACCGACGCCGGGCGACTTCCTTCCGTCCTCCCTTCCTCGTCGGCGAGGTCAGCGGGACGCCGCGCCAATCCGGGGCGTCCGCCCGGGCAGCCCTCAATCATCATTACCTTGCGAGGGCCGAGGGCCAGCCGAGGGCCGCCCATAAAGGCCCTCGTCATTCGTCTCCGGCCGCCCACCACGGCGACGGCCTGGCCGGCCTCGGCCTCCTCGGGGGACGGCAACTTGTTTCGGAGAAGCCACATCCCGCATCCCCCGCCTGTCCGGCCTGTCCGGCCTGTCCTCCCCGTCCGGCACTGCTTTGACAGGGCGGTGCCAGCTCAGCACTCGCTCCGCGCCCCGCGCTCTGCGGGAGAAGTTTTCATTTCGGCCGGCGTCCGCAGCGCGGCCGCGCGCCGCTGGACCAATCAAAGCCCCTCTGTCGGCGAGGAAGAATGCCATTTTATTTGTGCACCAGCCCGACCGGCACCGCCACCCCTGCCGCGGCGAAACCACACTGCGGCCCCAGAGAGCCCCCCACCCCCTACCCCGGACACACAGGGCCAATTTCACGGTGTAACGAGGTGTCACTGCGCGGGCCGCAGCATGGCCGTGCCTGCGGCAGCCTGCCGCCGACACCTCGCCACGGTGTCCGGCAGAAGCCCTTGTCCCTTGTCCGAATCATCTCTCTCGAAACCTTGCAGGACGGCCCTTGCGTGAGAGAGACGGAGCAACCGAAGTCCTGTTCGGAACCAGCCTGCAGGCCGGTCATTGAAAAACAGCCCCAGGTCTCTCGCCATCTCCCCTCCCCCTCCTCGCGTTATTGCGTGATTCTTCTGCTCCCCTCCCTCTCTCCCCCGACAAAGATCTCTGGGGGCCGTCAGCCAGCGAGCGAGTGCGGTGCTGAAAAAAGCCATGTGCTCCACGACAACAAAGTTGGGGGCGCGCGGCTCCTCGGCATCATCAAGTGGAATGCGAGACTGCAGTGATAGTTCCGTTTGGCGTCGAGAGTCGCATGCGGCAGCGCGGCCGCCCCCAGCGAGCGGGCTCGGCGAATCTAAGAAGTGCGCCTGGCGGCGGCCTGGCGTGTGTTGTTGTTTCGCCGCGCTTTGTTGGTTGTAGTACCACGGCGCTGCCTTTGTCTGAACCTCCGCCGCAGTCCTCGCCGTGGCTGCTGCTCCTCGCGACATCGGCGAATCGGCAGCCTCTTACTGTTGTTGTTGTTCTGTTCCAGGCGATCGGGTTGACGATGCCGAGCGACATTCGGCCATGGCACCCGCCCTGCGCTCCATGCCGGTGCCGCCGCCGCAGCCTTCGCCGCCTGCCGAGCTCTCGGACGACGAGGAGGACGGCGACCGCCACGACCGCCACTGGCCAGCATGCGACGGCCAGCATGCCGGGCAGCCGGGCCGAGCAGCCACGGAGACAGCAGCGCGCCGCCTTGGCCGCGTTCACCGAGGTCGCCACCACTCTAGCAGCAGCGGCAGCGCGGCCGGCCACACGCACTCGACGCACACGCCGCCACCCGCGGCCCTAGGGGCCCTAGACGACATGGGCAGCAGCGGCAGCAGGCAGCAGCCCGGCAAGCCCGGCCACGGCCAGCAAGGCCTGCTCGGGCGCCGCACGCAGTCCTCGGGCTCGCTGTGCACCGGCGAGAAGCTGGGCCGGCTGCTGGCGCCATGCGGCCGCCACCGCCACCGCGGCAACCACTTCAACCACAACGACTACAACTGCAGCCACCACCACAACCACGCCGGCGACGACTGCCACCGGCATCTCAGGTAAGGGGAAGAAGGGGAAAGAGGGGAAGTTAGGAGTGCTCTTACCACCCACTGGAAAATCAGTGCAGCAAAACGAAAACGAAAAACAAACAGCAAGCTTTTGTATTTTGTTCATCGAAAAAATACAGAAGTTTGCCAGAAAATACGTCTGCGATAAAGTTGAGCCCCGGATTCCCCTGGCCGTCACGGCCGGCCGAAGTGGAGGCCGAGGCCAGGGAGGTGGCGACGCGTCCCCGGTGAAGTTTGGACCGCGCGCCGGGCGCCGGGGCCAGCAAATTGTTCGCCCACTTTCCCTTATCGGGCAACTTAGTTTGTCTGGCTCCACGCACGCCGAGCAGGCGGAGCCGCTCTGAGCGATATCGCAAATATTTAACCTATCTTCCTCCGTTTGCGCACGACGCTCGCGAGGCGGGCGTCGCTGGCAGCCCGCGCTGGCAGCCCACTGGCAGGCGCGGCAAGCGGGATGGATACGGCGGAGGGGTTGGCTGCGTGCTGCGTCTTCGGTTATCGATGCGTTTTTTCACCCCCCCCCCCATCTCCATGCAAACACACGGTATGCGGGCCTTCCCCGCGGCGCCGCCGCCTGCAGATCCTCCATTGAATGTTGTTGTTTTTCAGGTACAAGCTGTGCGGCTCCCTGCCCAACCACCTGGACGCGGCGCAGCGGGACGCGTGCGACAACAACAACATCACGCCCGCGTCACCCTGCGTGTCCGAGAAGGACCTGCTGGACCTGGGCTACGCCTCGGAGCGCTCCCCGGACGACGAGAAGCACTTCCCCGGCGACATGTCGGGTACGTGTTTCAAAAAGCAAAAACAAAAACAAATCAAAACAAGTTTTGTGTTTCCGAGCCGGAGGTTTGCCGCGCTGTTTCGGATTAGTTGGCGGGAAATAGACGCCTCAGGCTGTCCATCAGTGTCACGAAAAACCAATTGGCGTCCGCCAATGCCAATGCCTGTGACGGGCCGGGCGGGCGGGACGCGGAGGGACAGAGAGAGTGACACTATCGTCGCACTCGCGGCCAAATCGAGGCGGAGTTGTCACACTGGAACTGGACTGACTGGTCCTTCCCCCGGCCGGCTGCGGGGGAAGATAGGCAATCTACGCGACATCCGCCTGCATAGGCAGAACGCAGCGTCCCTCCATCCCTCCCTAAAAAAAGGCAATCTGCAGAGCGGCAGCCCGTTGGTGCCCGTTGGCCCGGGGGCGTGCGTCCACTGTGTCCACATGGGGGAAAGAGGTCAATCCGGTCAGGCAGCCAAGTGATTCATATTTGGGGGAACGGGCCGCCGTTTATGAAACGGGCCGGGCCATTCGGCGCCATTCGCGGGCCGAGCGGAATGAGTTCCTTGGTGCGGCAGGATTCGGCCGGATTAGTGCGGCCCGCGTCGGGCCTGCTGCGCGGCGCCCCCCGAGTGTTGACAAAGCCCCGCTCCCCCCACCCTCCCTTTCAGCATCATCAGCAGCACCGAGCAGCACCCACCGGCACCCACCCCCTTCTAACGGGATTCCTATCGTCCGTCCCGGGGAATTGTTTTATCTCTTTCCGAGCGCGCGCGTCTGTGAGTGTGTGGGCGTGAGAGTGTGTGCGTGTGTTTGTGAGAGTGTGTGCGTGGTACACACGTCCCGCGTGTCCCCCGCCTGTTTCCCCTGTCGGACAGTGAAAGGTGAAGAGGGGTGGCGGTGGCGGTCCATTGGCGGTCCGGCCCGGGCCGCCCTGCCGCCCTGCAATCGACGGTCCCATCGGCAAATTGCGAGTGTGTAACAACCCATCAGTGCGGGGCACAGCGCTGCCCGTTCGGCGGCACTGTGATGCAATAATACGACGATCGGTTATTCCGTGCCGTCGTCGTGTCCCGACGACGCCAGCGGACACGATTTACGCGCGCCGAATTTGTCATGTCTCACCCGAACAAACTCGTCGGGGTGATATTTAAACACGCGCGCGGGGTTGCCCCGCCCAGCCCCGCCCCGCCCCAGCCCAGCCCCTCTGCGGACCATAAATCCGAATCTTGCACCCGCTGCTGGCGGGGGCGTTCCCGGGCGTTCCTCCTTGCAGCCCGCCAAGACAACCACCGCCGCCGCATCCTCTTGGCCCGGGGGGCGGGGTGCTTGTCCCGGGGCGGGCCAGGGCCTGGCCGCGGCCTGGCCGCCCTGCGCTGCGAAGCCTGACCAGCCACATGGACTCCGCTCGCTTGAGGAACTGCCCCCCCCCCTTTCCTTTCCCTTTTGCGCTGCTCTCCCAATTTCCGGCACGCGCCTTGAATTATGGGCGGCCCTTATTTTATATCCAGCCGGCGCGCCGCGGCCGCGCTGCGCTAGCTTGCGCCCGCCAGCCCTGGCCGGCCCTGGCCCTGGCCGACGCCATGCCGACCCGGGGATGCTTCCCGTTTCCCGTCTGTTGTCCGCGAGCAATATGGAGTCGGCCAGCGATGAGTAGTGGCAGTGTGCTGCGGGGTTAGGCCCCCGCCGCCATTTATTGTCTCGGCTAATTTTATCTTTTGCCGGCGCCCTACTGGGGCGTGCAGGGCGCGGCGCTGCTGGGCACAGAGAGAGAGGGCGGGGGGCTTCGATGCGACGCCGCCCCCGTTTGATGTCCGTGGTGGACAGCCGTGGACAGGACGGCGCGGACGGGCTCGAGACAGGGGGCGGCGGCCGTGGTGGCCGTGGCGGCCGGCCCCGGGACGTGCGGGGCGAGCGCTGTCTCTGCGACCACCTCCCCTCCCCGGCCCCGCCAAATCCTGTTCTCGGCTCGGACCGCCCTCTCGCCCGTCGCAGCCATCCCCAAGGGGCTCTTTCAATCACTGCTCGCGCGCCCCTGACCCGTCGTCCTCAAAGCCTGCTCGGAGTGGTTGCGCTCCGTCTCCCTCGCACTCACGTGGAGTCCGGTGCGAGGAAGGCAGTGCGACGCCAGCACTGTTCGGAGCCAGCCTTGCTGGACGTCAAGACACGGCGCCGCGAGCGCGAATCCGCCCTCTTTTTGTCTCGGGTCTCCGTGTATTTCAGCCGTTTCCAACGCTGTTTCGGCGTGGTGCGCCCCCTTCCCCCAGCGGCCCGCGACTCACAGGTGTGTTTTGCACTTTGCAGGCGCGTGCGAGTCGGTGCCGCTGCATCGCGGCTCGCGCGGCCTGGGCTTCTCGGTGTGCGGCGGCGCGGACTGCTCCTCCGACGGCCTGGTGCGCATCAAGAGGCTCTTCCCCCACCAGCCGGCCTGGCAGAGCGGCCGCCTCCGGCCCGGCGACGTCCTCCTGGCGGTCAACGGCGAGCCCCTCAGCGGCCTCACCAACCACGTGAGTCTGGCGTAGTTGTGACCGCCACGCGAAAAGCGTGCGTCACGGCCTTCTTGTTGTCGTGGTGGCGCCAGTGGGCTGGGTCCGAACAAGCGCCGTCTCTCTCGCTCTCGCAGCCCTGCGGACGCCCCGTGGGTGCGAGGGAGGCAGGGCGACGAAAGCATGTTCGGAAATCAGCCTTCGGCGTCCTCATTGCCCGCCTGCTCAATGCCGGTTGTCTTCGTCCGTCCGCAGGAGGCGCTCGAAGTGCTGCGCACCGCGACCGACCACGTGGTGCTGACGGTGGCCCGGCCGTCGCGGCCGCCGTCCTGGGCGCACGCCTCCCTGGCCATGCAGGCCGGCATGCAGCCCCGGCAGCCGCCGCAGTGCCTGCAGCTGCCCGACCCGCGGCTGTCTCGCCAGGACTCGTGCGGGGTGAGTGGAAGCGCCTGTCGAGCGGCGCGTCGGCAGCCCGCCACGCACCGCCACGCACCGCCTCGCCGCGGCTGACGCGCCAGGCGTCCTCATTGTCGTGTCCTTGCAGGAGCTGGAGGTGGCGCTGAGCAAGGTGCAGGGCAGCCTGGGCTTCACGCTGCGCAAGGAGGACTCCAGCGTCCTCGGCCACTACGTGCGCGCCCTGGTGCGCGAGCCCGCCATCTCGGACGGCCGCATTCGGCCTGGGGATAAGATAGTCGCGGTAAGTTGGCGTGCCTTTGCGTGTGGGGCCGCCGTGTGTGCGTGCGTTCTTCATGACCGAGGCGGCGTTGCAGGTGAACGGCGTGGACATTTGCCACATGACGCACGAGGAGGCCGTGCTGTTCCTGCGGCAGGCCGGCGACACGGTGCTGCTGAGGCTGTACCGCGACGTGGCGCAGACCCCCGTGTCGGCGCTGTCCCCCACGGAGGCGCACAAGGCGTTCCGCCCCAAAACCCTGAGGTGAGTGCTTTCTTGTTTGGCACGCCTCCGTAAATTTGCAGGTGAGCGTCTTGTTTGACTTGGTATTGTTTCGCTTGCAGGAAGGAGGCGCTGGACATGCTGAGCGACCTCGCCGTGCGGCGGATGGCGCCCCGGCCGGGCGAGTCCTCCACCCTGGGCCGGCCCCGCAAGGTGTCGGCCGGACGGGGCGCGGGGGGCGCCGCCAACGGCAGCTCGGCGTCGTCGTCGCACCTGCAGCAGCAGCGCACCAGGACGCAGTCCTTCGGTACGGCGTTCGACGCCTCCATCGCGAGCTCTCTCTACTCAGCCCAGACTGATTTTGAACCGTTGCTTCCCACAGAACTGATTGCATCTAGTCAAAGCAGCGGGCGCGCCACAAGTCTTGGCCGCGAGGAGAGCCCCCTCGTGGACCTGGCGGACTCCACCGTGTCCAGCTCGTCGCTCAGCTCGCTGGCCTCCTCCGCCAACTCGGTCGTGGAGCGGCCCGGACTGCGGCCTCGGCGGCCCGAGTTCCTGGAGCTGGCGGGGGGCGGCGGCGGCTCCAGCAGCAACATGCACGCGCCCACCTGGAACCTGCAGAAGCTGTCCCTCGGCGGCTCCCCGGCCCAGCAGGACGCCGTCTGGGTACGTCCTCGTGGTCCACACGGCCGGCTGCCAACACTCCAACAGTGGTGGGTGGCTTCCTAACATCTGAGCTGCGGATGCTTCCAGACGGACGACGGCCGGTCGACGGACTTCGCCAGCCTGCCGTGCGAGGCGGCCAGCCCCGACGAGGACGTCGACGTGGTGGACGGCCGCGGCCGGAGCCGCGCCTTCAGCCACCGCAACCCCGCGTACCAGTCGGCGCACCCCGCGTGCCGCGCGCACGGCCCCGGCGGCCCCAGCGCGGGGCTCGGGGGGCTGGCGGGGCGCAGCGTCACCAAGGACCCTCGGGTGGCGAGGGGCGGCGGCACCACCACGGAGGTCGCACTGCAGGTACGCGTGCGGCGGAGACAGGGCCGTCGCTTTTGCAACTGACTGTACTCACTCGCTAAGACGGCCGATAATAAGATTGCCCCGAATATCAGGAATCAATCCCGGACGTCCGCGGCGGCGAGGGCCGCACGGGGCTGCTCAAGTGGAAGGGCGTGGTCTTCACCCCGGAGGACGACACGGACTCGGTGACGAGCTCGCCCCAGGACGACACGGAGAGCCAGAGCACACTGGAGGACAGCAACGGCCAGGTGCGTTGGGATGGGGCTGCACTGGTTGGACAGGTTGGACTCTAGGCAGCTGCATGATGCAGCGTGATGATTGGGACTAAATCCACTGACGACCGTCTTGCTTCACAGGTTTTCACGGTGGAGCTGAATCGGGGCTGGAATTCCCGGCTTGGCTTCAGCCTGCAAAGTCAGGGGGATGATTCCGTCATCAGCGCCATCTACAATGACAGCGTAGCGGCGAAAAACGGACGCTTAAAGACGGGTGACCGCATTATTATGGTATGGACTTGCTTGATTGTGTTTCTCTCACCGAATTCCTCTTGCAAGTGGCCATTATATAATTTCGTCTGTTCCTCAGGTTAACGATGAGAGCGTCGAAGGCATGCCCACAGCGGACGTCATAGACCTGTTTCGGAAGATCCGGGGGCCCATTGCAATCACCGTGTGGCGAGAAAACGATCGGTAGAGTCAGTTGACCAGTCATGCTTTAAGAATTTGCATTCCATGTGCTTTGAGCCAAAGATAACGAGAGCACACTGCCATTCAGAAGATGTATTATAGTACTTAAGACTTTTTGGCAACAGTGTCGCTTCCCGCCTTCTCATTGTGAATATTTGTTCATATCAAACCGGAAGTGTTCATCGTTCGAAAAGAGTCAGGAAAAGTAAGTTCTTGTAGTCACTGTCCAAAGAAAAACTTTTCACCCTCTAGAATTTTTTTTAGAACTATATAAATACTGTTATACCAACACTATACGTAGGCATTATTAATTTATGAGACCTGTTAATTTTGTTCAAAAAGTCTAATTATTTTAAAAATTTGTTTAAAAAAAAAAACAATTTTATGACTCAGTGAGTGTACCATAGAGGATTTTAATCTTCCCAAGTTACGAAAGTTTCCCGCAGCATTTTAGAACACAATACCCTAATGAAAAAAGTTACACTAACTTTTATGAATATTCCTAGATGGTGTAATTTGACCCTGCACTGCATTTTGAAGTTGTTTCTCATGCTGACTGTCCAGCGACATTCTGTAGAGAGTGTTTTTACCTATTAGCTTTCTAATTATTCAAAAAATTCGAATTGTGGAAATATGTGAAAGACTACAGAACATAGTTAGAAATATAATTTATAACAAACTGGTTTATATGCTTTCATTGACCATTATCCTCCCTCAGACAGTACAGTACAAAACACAAAAAGGTAGGCAAAGCTTTGATCTTAGTTGGATTAAAGACATTTGAAAAATATGCATTGGTTGCAAAACAGTCTTTGCAAATTTATTGCATGAATCAAACATATATTTTTAGGAACACTTTTCAAGTTGCTATGCTGAAAAGCCGAGCAGCTGCGATTATTTTTGTTTCAAGAGAACACAGACTTTAACAAAAGTTGAGCTGACAATGAGACTCAGGAGTGTCACCTTTAACAATACTGTGTGAGCTAAAAATATAAAAACAAGTCAAGTTCATAAAGATCTCTAAGAATTGAGATAACAATATGAAAAACAATAATTTATCATAATATTATGTTATATAAATACTAATGTTAGAAAAAATATGATAGAAAATAGACATGATTGGGTTGGAAGCCCAGTGAATGTTTTGTCATATAATACATGCATCTTTGATCAAAATAATAGTTCCAAAATCCACTGGTATCACCAGTCATTGCATTCATCTTTCTGTGATTGAAGGGATTGGAACATAACATCACGCACCTTTGGTTTAGGATCTTCAGATATATTTGAATCGACAGCACCTGTCTGACCCAGCATCCACTCCAATTCTAAAACAATAAAATCACACATCATATTAGATTGAAGTATATAGGTCAAGTTCTAAGACATGAAATACACATAATGCATTCATACCTTCAACAGTTATGCCCATCCCTCGGAAAGCAATGGGACCAACAAGCTGTTGCTTCATCTCTCCTTCATGGTAGATGAACATGGTTGGCAAGTTCTTGTCAGGATAATTCGGGATGCATGTTGTAGAGATGCTTTTTAAGAATTTAGTTGCAGGGAATTTTGCTGCAAGTTCTGCAAGGTGTTGGTTGAGAAGGGCGCATAATGGAATACTGAAAATGGGAGATATTCAGTTAATAAAATGTACTTACCACATTTTACCAAGCCAATATTAAATTGAGAAGTCTGGTTGACTTACCCTTGTTTATAGAGATGCAAAACCACCCATATACCTTCACCTGCGCTGTTCACCTCAGAAACATAATCAACTGCACTGATTTCCCGTACTGCTCCAAACTTCGATCTTTGAGCAAGAGCTTTTATCTCAGCAATACGCTTCCGACGGTACTCTTCCAAGACAGCATCATCTTCTTCATCTTCAAGCTCATCTAGTTCATCCAAATCGCGGTCTTCAATTGCCTTCTCACCTGTAATTAATTTATAATAAATACCCTATACATAAAACAAGAAGATAAGATTATCCTTGTGTTAGGAAAGTCTTTCTCACCATTGCCCAGTTTTGCTTTGACAGTTTGTTCAACCAAATTAACAATGTCATCTTCTGTCACTTCTTTCTCTTTCTGAGGTAAGATTCCTTTCGATCGGAGGATGTCATTCCATTCTGTGTCTTCATTGGGGTCCTGCACAGAGGATAAGAGAATTAGGCCCGGTGCATAACTATAATGGAAAATATGTTAAACACTACAAATAAAAGAAGTCTTTGAAAGTCTTTCACAGAAGCATAAAGTACAATCATACAATGAACTGCAATAGCACAGGGACTGGGTTGAGATTGGTTGGGATGCCCAGAAAAACCGGGTGTAAAATTAATAAAAGATTTTCTGGAAGAGACGAACACAGCCAATAAATTTTGAATTTTATCTGGCAAACAAGTCAGTCTGTACCGACAAAGGTAGACAACCGAGCCAACAACCTGACCATATAAGGCAATCTGAGCAGACTGCATGCTTCAGTGACACTGACCTGCATTTTAATTCACTGACGCTGCTTGTCCGTCGAAGCACGAAGGTTCACTTCAATGGCAGAATGTATCACAGCTTATTCCAACCGTCACGTACTGAATTTGAACAAATTAATTTGCCAAAAACACGGTGAAGGCTAAATTTAATGTTGACGGGCTCGTCTGCTAACCAAAGAAATCACTCCTCATATAAATTTCTCATAGTGGTGTCACGTTGCTTTTGTTGTTTCGGACGTACCGCTTCCATTTTGAGTTTAAAAAAATTGAAAAACATATTTCAACTTGAAAGAGCAAACCATGAGCCGGGATCAAATTTTTGATTTTTCTACGATAAAACGCTTGAACGATGGCACAAACGGTTGCTTTAAATCCGGTGCATTGAGGCCGATAATATTTTTAGTACGTTGGCTGTACCTATCAGAGCCTTTTAGAAATGTGCAGAACGGTGACTCATTCACTTGCTGTTGTTGTTCTTGTTGTTTGCTTACATCCTGGGACCTAGGAGCGTCTATCAATGGTTCAGGCTGACAGTACTTCTTGGAATAGTAATTCATTTACAGAGAAAGTAAGTGACGTATTGTTGAACATACTTGTATGGTTGAGCATGCCATCGACCAACTTGTCTGAGATAGTAATAACGACCTAATTTGTGCAATATCTTTTCTGGATCACGGTTGCATGATCCTATCAACTTTTAGTTGTTAACAGATTTTTAGATCTAAATTTTCCGCCTGTCAAGAAAAGGAACGGAAATTTCCGAGTAACCTGATGCTTTCAATTACTTTATCGTTATCTGTTAATGAATGTTTGTTTTACAGATATGATAATTCGATACTAGAACACCTGCCTGACCACCGAGGGAAAAATGGGGTCTGTTCAGCGAGCATTTGCTCAAAAATTAACTAAGCAACATGCTTCAGATGTCAGACGTCAAATTGCAGCGACTTCATACTCAAGAGATGCTTCAAAGACAGCAAGCAATCCATCGGGGCTGTCTTCCACAGTATCCCTGGGCGATGTTGTGGATCCCCTCGACTATGAAGATTTCATACAGCAACATCAACTTCTCATTGACCGCGACCCTTTACGGGCAATGCTTGACTTTCCAGTCAATGATATTGAGGTTTGTTTTCTATAAATGTATTGATAACATCAGAACATTCAAACTGTAGGATGATTGTTTGCTAACTACATTATATATTTTAGGTTGGTGTTATACCTCGCAAGATTCGCACAGAAGCCCCAGTTCTTCCAGAGGAACCTATCTCTGAACTTTCGCCTCAAGTCCGGGATTGTGTAGAGAGTTACACCCGTGATTGGATTGTTGTGGACTACCGATACCGTCACCATTCGAGTAGTGCGTTTTCACAAGATAGATCAGAAGAACGTCTTACAACTCTCCAAAATATTCCTCATCAAGAATTTGAAGTAGATGGTGAAACTGCCCCTGCTAATAATGGTCCACCTCTTGATACCCAATCTATTGCCAGCGGACGTTTGTCTGTCACATCTGCTGACACACCCCGTGGAAGCTGGGCTAGCTTTGATTTACAAAACTCTGTTAGTGACCCTGTCATTGCGGGTCTTCTGGAGAGGACTGCACCTGAAACAATTGATAAACTCAATGAGTCACGCCGACAAGAGGGCAGACAAGATGCTGTTTTCTCATTGTATCCACAACAAGATGAAGAAGATATGATTGAGCGAAGAATTTCAGCTGACATCCCAACAGAACATATGGGTCACCGTATTCAAGTGAAATGTCTGCAGCTCAAGTTAGATCTCGAAGTAGAACCGATATTTGCATCGATTGCTCTCTATGATTGTAAAGAAAAGAAGAAAATCTCAGAAAACTTTTATTTTGACATGAATCAAGAAGGATTAAAGAGAATGTTAACCTCTCATATTCCTTACAGTGACAGCAGCACTTTAAGTAGGTCGTGTATTTTTGACATAACATATCCATCTCCTGATCTCTTTCTTGTCATAAAACTTGAAAAGGTTCTGCAGGGTGATATCAATGAATGTGCTGAACCTTACATGAAAGATGACAAAAATAGAGAGAAGGTGAAGGCTAATGCTGTTGCTGCTTGTGAAAGACTTGGCAAATACCGCATGCCGTTTGCTTGGACTGCTATTTATGTGATGAATATTATTACTGGGGTCAACAGCCTTGACAGAGATTCTGGCAGTGACAAGGAAGGAAGTGCATCAAACAGCCTCGATCGCAAGCACAGCCAAACCAGCTTGGAACAACTGAAGAAACGAGCTTCTGACATGGGTACTTTGACTCGTCGTGGTTCCCTAGAAAGGCGCAGTGGTTCTGAAAAGAGACGCAGCTGGTCTCCTGAGGACTTCGGCTCTGGCTTGGACACATTTCGTCCGGTAACACTGACTGTTTCTAGTTTCTTCAAGCAAGAGCAAGACCGTCTAAGAGATGAAGACTTGTACAAATTTTTGGTGGACCTGAAACGCCCTTGCACCATGCATAAGAGGAAGTGCATCCCTGGCACGCTGAAGCTGGACATCTCGCCGTGCCCCGACGAGGTGCCCTACTGCCTGACCCCCGAGCTGGCCAGGATCAACCCGTACCCCGACGAGAAGGGCCGCGCCACCAAGGAGATCCTCGAGTTCCCCCCCAGGGAGATGTTCATCCCGCACTACTCGTACCGCAACCTGCTGTACGTCAGCCCCAAGGAGCTCAACTTCGCTGGGCGGACGGGCTCGGCGCGCAACATCGCCGTCAAGATGCAGCTCATGTGCGGCGAGGAGGAGCACAACGCCATGCCCGTCATCTTCGGCAAGTCGTCGTGCCCCGAGTTCGCCACCGAGGCCTACACCACCGTCAGCTACCACAGCAAGTGCCCGGACTTCTACGACGAGTTCAAGATGAAGCTGCCGGCCAACCTGGGCGACCAGCACCACCTGCTCTTCACCTTCTACCACATCAGCTGCCAGCGCAAGGAGGAGAAGACGACGGTGGAGACGCCGGTGGGGTACACGTGGCTGCCCGTGTTCCGCGACGGCCGCCTGCAGACGGGCGAGTTCTGCCTGCCCGTCATGATGGAGCACCCGCCGCCCAACTACTCGTACATCCCTCCCGACGTGTTGCTGCCCGGCACCAAGTGGGTGGACAACCACAAGGGCATCTTCGTGGTGGTGCTGGACGCCCTGTCGTCCGTGCACACGCAGGACAAGTACCTGGACAAGTTCTTGGGCTTGTGCGCCGCGCTGGAGGACGGCTCCATCCCTCCCCGCATCGGCGAGGCCAACATGGAGTCCGCGCTCAAGACGAGCATCCTGGAGCTGACACACGCCAAATCCGAGCCGCTGGTCAAGTTCCTGCCCGTCATCCTGGACAAGCTGGTGCTGCTTTTGGTGCGACCCCCAGTGGTGGGCGGCCAGCTGATGAACATCGGCCAGACTACGTTCGAGGCGCTGGCCAGCCTGGTGAAGAGCATCACCGCGCTGCCCGAGGGCCTGGGCGAGGGCCAGCGAGACCAGCACGGCCGGCACAGTCTGCTCACGGCCTACATCACTTACCAGTGTGCGCTGCCGCACCCCGCCGAGGGCAGCGGCTTGCCCCCCGCCGTGCCGGACATGGTGCCCACCCCGCTGCGCTCCACCAGCAACCCCAACCTGCACGGACTCGTGGAGGACGAACCGCTGGTGCCTGGCGTCATGTCCCCGATGGCCACCCCCGGCGGCGGCGTCGCCGCTGGCCGCGGCCTGGACCGCACCGCCAGCATGCGGACGGCGGCCGGCGGCCCCGCCGTGGTGCCCAACGTCGCCAACGTGGTGAGGCTGGTGCACGAGGAGCTGGCCTTGCAGTGGGTCGTGTCCAGCGGCGCGGCACGCGAGTTGGCCATGGCCAACGCCTGGTTCCTGCTCGAGCTCATGGTGAAGAGCATGGTGGAGCACCTGGCCGCTACAGACGGGCTAGACGCGCCGCGGCGCGCGCAGGGCCGCCTCTCGGAGCAGTTCACTGACGACGTGACGACCCTCGTGTCCACGCTCACCTCGGACATCATCTCACGCTGCAGCAAGGACCCGCGCCTGGCGCAGAGCATGAACGCCAGCCTGGCCTTCTTCCTGTTCGACCTGCTCTCCGTCATGGACCGCGGCTACGTGCTGTCGCTCATCAAGACCTACTACAAGCAGATGTCGGCCAAGATCTCGTCGCTGCCCGACGCCGTGGGACTGATCGGTCTGAAGGTGGACTTCCTGCGCATCGTCTGCAGCCACGAGCACCTGGTGCCGCTCAACCTGCCCTTCGGCACGCCCTTCACGCCCTCCTCGGCGCCCTGCTCGCCCACGCCCTCCGTCACCTCGTCCAACAGCCAGTCGTCCTTCGTGTCGACGCTCGTGGGCGGCGACCGCACCAGCTTCTCCGAGCTGTCCCTCGAGTTCCGGCAGCAGCACTTCCTCATCGGGCTGGTGCTGGGCGACTTGGCCGCCGTGCTGACGCTGCCGCACGCCGCGCTGCACGCCAAGGCCGTCAACATGGTGCGCAACCTGCTGACGGGCCACGACGGCGACCCCCGCTACGAGGACGCCGAGTGCCGCGCGCGCGTCGCCGCCCTGTACCTGCCGCTGCTCACCATCGTCATGGACAACCTGCACCAGCTGCACGGATGGCGCGAGCGTGGGCGCTCCCTCATGTCCCCCGCGCTGGAGGACGGTCCCGAGCCCCAGCCCGGCATCAACCAGTCCGTGGCCATGGCCATCGCGGGCACGTCCATGTTCGGGCTACGCGCCAACACCACCAGCGTCGAGTCCTACGACCCGTACGCCCAGCCCAGGAAGAGCAGCCTCACGGCGGACACCACGCGCCACCTGCTGGTGTGCTTCCTCTGGGTGCTCAAGAACATGAACAAGACCCTGCTGAAGCAGTGGTGGGCCGAGTTGCCGCCCCAGCGCTTCCACCAACTGCTCGAGACGCTGTTTGTCGGCAGCTACACGTTCGAGTACCGCGGCAAGCGGGAGCTACTCAAACGGTGCGCGCCGCAGACCCTAGCCAAGACCACGGACGCCAAGTCCAAGCTGGAGGACATGATCCTGGGGCAGAGCTCGGCCAGGAACGAGATGATGCTGCGCCACAAGGTGGCCGGCGCTGCCGTGGCCGGCGGGTCCCCCTCGGGGGCGGGGCAGAGCCCGGGGCCGGGAGTGGCGGGGGCTGACCGTCTGCGCTGGCGCAAGGAGCAGATGGCGTACCGGCCCAGCCTGGAGCCCAGCGACCGGCCGGCGGTGGACGTGGAGGCCGACGCGCACCTGGAGAGCAACCTGGCCACCGAGGTGAGCCTCATCATCCTGGACACCCTGGAGCAGATGGTGGCGGTGGCGTCGCGCTCCGACGCGCTGCAGCCGCTGCTCGGCGCCGTGCTCAAGGTGCTGCTGCACGCGCTGGCCCGCAACCAGAGCTCCACCGTGCTGAGGCACATGTTCGCCACGCAGAGGGCGCTCGTCTTCAAGTTCCCCAACTTGCTGTTCGACGAGGAGACGGAGCAGTGCGCCGACCTGTGCCTGCAGCTGCTGCGCCACTGCAGCTCGAACCGCGCCGCCGTGCGCTCCCAGGCGTCCGCCTCGCTGTACCTCCTCATGCGGCAGAACTTTGAGATCGGCAACAACTTCGCCCGCGTCAAGATGCAAGTCACCATGTCGCTGAGCTCGCTGGTCGGAACGAGCCGCACCTTCAGCGAGGAGTCGCTGCGCCGCTCCCTCAAGACCATCCTGGTGTACGCCAGCGGTGACACGGAGCTGCAGGAAACGACGTTCCCGGAGCAGGTCAAGGACCTGGTGTTCAACCTGCACATGATCCTGTCGGACACGGTCAAGATGAAGGAGTTCCAGGAGGACCCCGAGATGCTGCTGGACCTCATGTACCGCATCGCCAAGGGCTACCAGAACTCCCCGGACCTGCGCCTCACCTGGCTGGCCAACATGGCGCAGAAGCACATGGAGCGCAACAACCACACGGAGGCCGGCATGTGCCTGGTGCACTCCGCCGCCCTGGTCGCCGAGTACCTGCACATGCTGGAGGAGCGGCCGCACCTGCCGCTGGGCGCCGTGGCGCTGGAGCGCGTCACGCCCAACGCCCTGGAGGAGAGCGCGGTGTCCGACGACGTGGTCAGCCCCGAGGAGGAGGGCATCTGCCTGGGCAAGGACTTCACGGAGATCGGCCTGGTCGGCCTGCTCGAGCACGCGGCCAGCTCCTTCAACCTGGCCGGCATGTACGAGGCCGTCAACGACGTGTACAGCATCCTGATCCCCATGGCCGAGGCCAACCGGGACTACAAGCGGCTGGCCGCCATCCACGCCAAGCTGCACGAGGCCTTCACGCGCGTCGAGCAGCTGCAGGGCAAGCGCGTCTTCGGGACGTACTTCCGCGTCGGCTTCTACGGCTCCAAGCTGGGCGACCTCAACGGCGAGGAGTTCATCTACAAGGAGCCCACCCTGACCAAGCTGCCCGAGATCTTCAGCCGCTTGGAGAACTTCTACGCCGAGCGGTACGGCGCTGAGAACGTGCATGTCATCAAGGACTCGAACGCCGTGGACACGAGCACCCTGGACCCGGACAAGGCGTACATCCAGATCACCTACGTGGAGCCCTACTTCGAGGCCTACGAGCTGCGCCACCGGCAGACCTACTTCGACAGGAACTTCAACATCAAGCGGTTCGTGTACGCGACGCCCTTCACGTCCACGGGCCGCGCGCACGGCGAGCTGCACGAGCAGTACAAGCGCAAGACTATCCTCACCACCACCAACCACTTCCCCTACGTCAAGACCAGGATCCAGGTGGTGAGCCGCAAGGTGGTGGAGCTGACCCCCATCGAGGTGGCCATCGAGGACATCCAGAAGAAGACGGCCGAGCTGGCGCAGTCTATCTACCAGGAGCCACCGGACCCAAAGATCTTGCAGATGGTGCTGCAGGGCTGCATCGGCACCACCGTCAACCAGGGCCCCATGGAGGTGAGCGTCCAGCAACAACGTGTCTTCAGTCCCTTTTGAATTATTTAGCTGTAGAACACTATTTTATTGTTCAGGAACTGATAATAAAGGACAATGCTCTTTATATATTTTCTAGTCGGATGAATGGATTTGTAGCTGTACTAAAATCGTCTTTTTTATTTGTTCCAGGTTGCTTTGGTTTTCCTCTCCGACTTGGTGGATGGACAGAAGGCCCCAACCAAATTCCAAAATAAACTAAGACTGTGCTTTAAGGACTTCTCTAAGAAGTGTGCTGATGCTTTGCGCAAGAACAAGACTTTAATTGGAGCTGATCAACGAGACTACCAGCGAGAGCTGGAGAGGAACTATCACAGATTCAGTGACAGACTCACACCATTGATCACCCTCAACAATGTTGCTGGTCGCATCAGGAAGTAATTAAGTTCTCAAAGTCCCTGTACAGTATTTGTTGAGATTGCATTTAAAAATTTTTGACAAATACATGGTGTGTCTATTACTCATGATTTAGCATGACCAACATAAGATCTGATTTTGTATTGTTGGACTCGTAGTAGTAGACACACCAAGTATGTGAAGTAATTTCTTTTTACCCAACTAAGGAATTGAAATTTTAAGAATGAGAGTGACGAGTGCACCAATTAGCGATAGCAATCTAATTTTGTATTGTATTTGAATGAGATTAATTTTCAGCACTGCCATACCTAAACTCATTTATGTAAGGGCTTTTTGAAATATTTTGTGGTAGCCCTTTTAAACAAAATGGCTTTTTTTTACCATTGAATTAAGGTATGATCTGGTTGTGTGATGTGAATTTATTTATAAGTAATTTCCTTGAGCGATTTTATGTAAATGAAACAGACTGGTGGAAGACTGAAGTGAAGGTTTGACCCTTTGAAACAGTTTGCTCATGCTGCTTTTTTCTGTGTTATCATTTTTGCTTTTCAGTTACCTCTGCAGGGCAATCTGTTCTAGTTTTCATCATCCAGTTCATTTCTACTCTAGTCGTACCTATCCATCCCAAAATTCCCCAACATTGCAATGTTAAGTTCTTTTCATCTTTTGTTTTAAGTTAAAGTTATACACATTTTATTATTATTAATATGTTTTCCAAAGCCTTGTGTGATAGATAATTGCCATTACGTTGCTTATTATTTTAGTGCTTCAACTGATAGGTTACCTCTTACAAGCAGTATTCTCATTATTATTAGTAGTATGGTTGTCATAATCACCAGGCATGTTTGTTTCATTAATTTTCAAAATCCCATTTGGAAAAATTGTCTCCTCTTCTCATATGCTCGAATGTTTATACTGACCACCAGTAGTGAGTCTGTGTCTTTTTTTTAATTTTGACTTTAAAATTAATTTTTACAGCTGTACGGCAGCTTTAGCCTAAAAGATTAAATACGTAATTAATGAAAACTTTGTTGTTTAGGTAATAATTTCTAAATAATTTTAATTGCAATCTTCACTGTGTAATTATAAAATTTGAAGGAGACATAGAAGATTCAACTGGGACTTCACCTCGCTTTGTCATTCATGTAGTACCGGCTGGAAGCGCGATGGTCACAAATACAGGCAGCTGTGCTGCTCTATTATGTTCCTTACAGCTTTTGTACCTCCACACATGACTGTTTATTATTGTACAAGTAATATATGCTTTTAGCCATAGGTTTGTACTATTTTTAATACTTTGAAGCATTAAATAGCAATACACTTTATAACTGTGTTTCAATACCTTCACATGGGAGAGAAAGGGTTTAAGTGGAAATCCAAATTATTTAATGACTTCAAAAGTTACGAGAGGGAGGGGAAAGTGAGCCTCCGGACGGTGACGCCAGCCACTGCGGGCGCGTCTAACCAAGTGACAAACAATTTCACATTCCATTAGTCGCTTCACTGCGCGATACTGCGATACTGGTACCGCGCGCCGTCTCCGCGCCGCGGCCCCGCGGCCCGCCGATTTCGGGGGACCGCTGCTGACGTCATGCGACGTCACAGCAAATAGGGGGGACGTGGGAGTCAGCCACTTTGGTTCGAAACTGAATCTTTCCCTCCAGTGGCACTCGCTGCCGACGCGGCGTGGGCCTGATGGGCGTCGCGTTGCGTCGAGTGACTGAGGCGCACGGTGGCGCAGCTGCCAGCCGGGCGGCTAGGCCAGGCCAGGCCAGACCGCGAGCCAAATCCGATTGGGCGTGGAAATGGGATGCGAAGGGCCGCCAGGGGCGTCGCCGAGCGTCGCGTGCACCTGGTACCCGCCGGCCGGGCCGCCCCATGGGGCGCCCTCTGCGGCGCACTGCCTCTCTCTGTCTCTGTCTTCCTGCCTGCGCGCCGGGGACGCAACCGGAGGGTTGGCGCATTGGCGGCAAGGTCGTCGTCGACGGGGACGCCCACACCCCGGGTCCTGGGGTGGCAACTCGGCATCGCGCCGCGTCGTCTGCGCCTCGCGACTCCGTCGCCGTGCCCAGCGCGGCCGTGGTGCCGGAGCCGGCGGTCTGCGGCGGCACTGATAAGGGAGCTCCTCGGCGCGGGGTTCGCGGGGTCTGGGGGTCACGGCGCGGAGGACGCGTTTCGAAGCCACTGGGGCGTGGGATTGGCCCGGAGCGCCGACCGCCCTCCTCGCCTCCACCCGAGCCTCTGCCTGCCGCCGACGTCACGCGCCTCGCCAACAACCACGCCGAAAACCAGACTACGGTTTTCACGCGCTCGTCTCATTTGTTGCTACGCATGCACGCCGTCGACGGGGAAGATCATGGCGTTTGCACAGGCAGGCATGTGCGAGCAGACATTGGCAGCAAGCGGACCACAGCCACGGCGGCCAGAACACTTTCTCACCGGCTGCAGCAGGATTGTCTGGCTGAGCGCCTGGCTGGGTAGGCAACATCTGCTCCAGCGGCGCACCGGCGCGCAGCGGGTTGCCTACCCGGGGTTCGTCAGGCGCTCGGTGCGACGCGCCGACGCGCTTGGCCCGGCCAGGACGCCGCTGAAGCAGAAGGCAGTCCTCCGTGGGCGCGTCTCGGCGGCCCAGCCCAGCCCAGGGACGCGCAGTAGGGGCGCAGCTGCTTCTCCGGGCCAGGAGGGGGCGGGGCGGGCGGGCGGCGTTCGGGGAGGCAGCCAATGGCGTCGCGAGCTCGGCCACCCCCAGCGCTGCCTATAAAAGCCTTGGCTCTGCAGAGCGACGCCACAGTGCGCCCCCAGTTCTCTGAAGCAGCGCCGGCCCCCGACGCCACCTAGCCCGCCTGCAGCGGTCCCCCGAGCCACTCTCTACAACTCCAGCGCCGCGTCCTTCCAGACTCAGCACTGGCACCTGCAGGTGAGACTTACAGTGGACTGGCTCCGCACAACGTTTCGTCGCTCTGTCTCTCTCGTACCTAAACGTGGCAGCCCACGAGTGCGAAAGAGACAGCAATGTGCTTGTTTCCAAACTGTGTCTTGGCCCACAGTCACGATGAAGCGGCCCCGGCTGCGCATCCTGTCCGCGTTGCTGCTCTACTTGTGGGTGGGCGCCCCGGCCGCGGTCTGGGGAGACGCGGCGGGGCTCTTTGGCGGACCCCCTGGCAACGACCTGGCGAACCCAACGGACACATTCGACAAGGAAAGGTAAGTGAACGTCGCCGATAATGCTGTCACGGGATTGTGTGAGTCGCGCCTTAATGAACTTTGCCACTTGTGCAGTTTTTGGAACAACGACTTGGTACCGGAGGCAGCGCAAGACGCGCAGCCCTCCAACTTCTACGGACGACGCGTTGACAGCGGAGCTGACGTACGACGCAGCGTTGAGCGACGGGTCGACGCGGAGCGGCGCAGTGTCGAGCGACGTGCCGATGTTCGCCGAGCTGACGAGCGACGCGCCGATGTTCGCCGAGCTGACGAGCGACGCGCCGATGTCCGCCGAGCTGACGAGCGACGCGCCGATGTTCGCCGAGCTGACGAGCGACGCGCCGATGTCCGCCGAGCTGACGAGCGACGCGCCGATGTTCGCCGTGCTGACGGGCGACGCGCCGATGTTCGCCGTGCTGACGAGCGACGCGCCGATGTTCGCCGTGCTGACGAGCGACGTGCCGATGTTCGCCGTGCTGACGAGCGACGCGCCGATGTTCGCCGAGCTGACGAGCGACGTGCCGATGTTCGCCGAGCTGACGAGCGACGTGCCGATGTTCGCCGAGCTGACGAGCGACGCGCCGATGTTCGCCGCACTGATGAACGCCGTGCTGACGTACGAGCTGAAGAGCGACGTGCCGACGTCCGACGGGCTGATGAGCGACGTGCTGACGTGCGACGAACCGAAGAGCGACGTGCTGACGTGCGACGATCCGAAGAGCGACGATCGGAGGAGCGACGTGCTGATGTGCGACGCAGCGCTGATGAGGAACGCCGAGTGGAACGACGCAGCATTGAACGACGAGCTGACGAGAGACGCAGTGCGGAGCGCCGAAGCCTTGACCGCCGATCTGAAGGCCGATCCCTGCGCAGCGAACGACGATCTGGCGCCGACCGCCAACTCAGTCGCGACGAACGGTCCCTGGAGCGACGCGCCGAGCGACGAGCCGTCGACGAGAACCGATCACTCCGAGAGGAAGTCAGCGTTGAGCGACGGGCAGCGCGCAGAGCCGACGGAGCCGCCGACAGGAGAGACGCCCGCCTTCGTCGAGAGGTGCGATCCCTGGAGCGACGGGCTGAGAGGCGTGACGAACTTCGTCGCGACAACCGGGAGGTGCAGCGCGTCGAACGGCGGGCTGAGAGGCGAGTCGACGTAGAGAGGCGCGAGGTGCGATCCCTCCGCCGACAAGAAGAGGCGCGGGACGCCCGAAGAATGGACAGGCGAAGCGAAGAACCCCGGCAGCTTCGACGAGACAGCCGGTCCCTTGACAGACGCGCCGAGAGGCGTGTGGACGATGAGAGGCGCGAGGGCCGGTCTCTCCGCCGCAGTGACACAAGATCTCTGGAAAGAGCGGACAGACAGACCAACAACATGCTGCGACGCCAAGTTCGGTCCGCGGACAGGCGGTCCGAAACGCGGGACAGCGACGAGAGGCGAAGTGGACGATCCCTACGACGCGCAGAAGAAGTGCGGGCCTCTGAGCGGCGGGCTGAAGAGCGACGCTCTCTCGAACGACGTGCAGACAGGCGCGCTGAAGAGAGGCGCGATGTGCGATCCCTGGCACGACGCGCTGAGGAGAGGGGTGACGTTCGGTCACTGGAACGACGTGCTGAGGAGAGGCGTGACGTGCGGTCCCTGGAACGACGTGCCGAAGAGAGGCGTGACGTGCGATCCCTGGAACGACGTGCCGAAGAGAGGCGTGACGTTCGATCTCTGGAACGACGCGCTGAGAGGCGTGACGTGCGATCTCTGGAACGACGTGCCGAAGAGAGGCGTGACGTGCGATCCCTTGAACGACGTGCCGAAGAGAGGCGTGACGTGCGATCTCTGGAACGACGCGCTGAGGAGAGGCGTGACGTGCGATCCATGGAACGACGTGCTAATGAGAGGCGTGATGTTCGATCATTGGAACGACGTGCTGAGGAGAGGCGTGACGTGCGATCCCTGGAACGACGCACTGAGGAGAGGCGTGACGTGCGATCCATGGAACGACGTGCTGAAGAGAGGCGTGACGTGCGATCCTGGAACGACGTGCTGAGAGAGGCGTGACGTGCGATCCTGGAACGACGTGCTGAGGAGCGTGATGCGATCCTGGAAGCGTGCTGAGAGAGGCGTGACGTGCGATCTCTGGAAAGACGTGCTGAAGAGAGGCGTGACGTGCGATCCATGCAACGACGTGCTGATGAGAGGCGTGATGTTCGATCCCTGGAACGACGTGCTGATGAGAGGCGTGATGTTCGATCACTGGAACGACGTGCTGAGGAGAGGCGTGATGTTCGATCCCTGGAACGACGTGCTGATGAGAGGCGTGATGTTCGATCCCTGGAACGACGTGCCTGAGTGAGCGTGTGAGCGATCCCTGGAACGACGTGCTGAGGAGAGGCGTGACGTGCGATCCCTGGAACGACGCGCTGAGGAGGCGTGACGTGCGATCCCTGGAACGACGTGCTGAGGAGAGGCGTGACGTGCGATCCCTGGAACGACGTGCTGAGGAGAGGCGTGACGTGCGATCCCTGGAACGACGTGCCGATGAGAGGCGCGACGTGCGATCCCTGGAACGACGCGCCGAAGTGAGGCAGGAAGCCCGTTCTGTCGACCGACGAGCCCCTGAGAAACAGGCCCGCCGAGACCTGGCCGTCGCCCGCCGTCGTGATGCTCGCGACCTAGGCCTGGCCGCCCTGCACATGATGCCCAAGGCAGCCAAGTCCGTGGACGGTACCGTCCTGGACAACGTGAGGGTCGCCCTGGACGCCGTTCTCACCCGCATGGCTCACATGGCCTCCAAGGTGTCTCCGATGACTCCCTCCTTCTCGTCCCGCGTGGTCGGCGACATTCAGGTAATTTCGGCTCTATTTTTTGCCCATCCGTACCATGTTTGACGAGAAGACCCATGAATTACTGTGGTATTTTGTTTCAGATGCCCAGCAAGATTTCCAATCTGGACAGTTCTACTTACCTGGCGAACAGGTAAACACTCTTGGCCCTGAAGTCCTTCTTCTAATTTGTTTTCTGTTCCTTTACAATCTAAACACAATTTGTTTGTTTCAGCTGGAGCTGGTCAACAGTGGTGGGCGGCGCTGCCCTACTGATGGCAATGAGAGGCTCCCGACTCGGCAGTGCCAAATGCTAGGGCAAGGGGCAGTGCCTTAGGGGCAGAGAGAGCTTCTAGTCTACCGCTTCAACGCCACGGCCCAGGTTCAACTCCCATCTACTACCAATGACGTTTCTCGGATGAGGTCGCCCAAAGGATTGTCCTGCCTGTGTCTACTGTTTGTAACAAAGGTATAAATTCCCGATTCAGGTTTCGTGAAATGAAATATATATATATTTTTGAAATCGCAATAATAAACGACTCAAGTAGCACAACGACTGGTGATATCAGGCTGTAAAACTTACATTTTAACCTGGGCATATTAGTGCTTAATCTCCCTAAAGTAGAATTAGTATTAATCTGTCATCCCAATTACACCGGGGCCCGAGACATTTAAACCTATATTAGAAAGTGATGGTGCCTAAAATTATAGAATTAATGATTATTCTCAGTAAAAGAAAAAAATTACGAGAAGCTAGTCTAGCGTATGAAAACAACTTACTGCTATATCCCTAATAACCCTAGTAATACTTAGACCTAGAACAGAAATTAAATTATACATAGGTTTTACTGCAACGGGTGCTGTTTTGAATGTTAGTGGGGGTCCACATCGTGCTCACTGGAATGGTGTCCTACAGAAATACAGTCCCCGATCTCAGCACTATCTTATTATCTTGTATATTAGCGCTCAATAAATCGCATAGAGCAAGCAGAGCAGTGTACCTTCTTCTTCTTCTCCTTCTTCGCCTAACCTTTCCGCTACACACAATTATTAACGCACAGTCTTGCCTCAGGGGTTGGGCTAATGTGCTGCTGATAAGCGTGGGCGAGCAACGAGAAACTAACCTGCGGTGTTTTCGGGCAGAGGAAAGCAAAACAGAAAAACAACACAAAGACAATAAAAACGCTTTGGAATCTTTACTAAACAACCAACAAACATTTCAGGCGAGCTCAACTTGACGATTCACCGCACGGAACACAATCACAACTTGCAGAGTTGGAATGAAAGTTCTTCATATAAATATCATTTTGATTACGGGCTGCCTCTCTGAGCCTCCCACCTTCCATTTACGCTAAATCACATAAAATAAAATAAATAATAGGCTCATTCTAACACTTATCGTCATTTCACGTAAACGCTACGTCGCTTACTCCCTCGAATGAGTGATCTCGAGCTTATAAAAAAAAACAAGCGTCTGCATCCGATGCCAATCAGAAACAGACAAAAATGAGAAAGGAACTTGTAAACGACTTAATAACTGTCGTGCTAAGATCATTTTGTACGAACCGGCAAATTTAAGATCCCCTCGCTTTCCGTAGCCTATCCAATTCAAACCGGCGACGTCAAACTCTGACGGGCTCCCACCGGTTTGGAACGTCGAGGGATTCCCGCGTCCGGCGGCACCTAGTAAGCCCAAGGGTCCACAAATAAATACATCCGGTTTAATATCCACGAAAACCTGAGTAAGGACTTTGGGTCCGTCGGAGGGCGTAGGGGTGCGGCGAGGCCCGGCCGGGCCAGTGAGCTAGGGAGGATGGAGGAAACATTTTGCCGGTCATCACCTCCAGCTTGGACGGAGAGGGGCGGCCTCTACCCGACCACCCCGTCGAGCTACCCCGTCGAGTCTAACGCGGCGGGTACACTACAGACTACGCGGCCGACGCCGGTCTAATCCGCCTTGTTGATGATGGTGGCGCTGAGGATGTCGTCCTGCGACATGTCCCGGTCGCCCCAGCCCCACACCTCCTCGCCGTGGTCGTGGTGGTGGTGGTGGTGATGGTGGCCGTCGTCGCGGTGCGCCTGCTGGGCGTACGGGTGCGAGCCGTCGCCCGTCCTGCGCACGCGCTTCTCCACCATCTCCTTGGACACGGTCTTGAGGTCGTACGCCCAGCCGAGGCGCGCGAAGAAGTCGATGAAGGCCGTGGTGAAGTTGCCCTTGTAGTTGCCCAGCTCGGCCGCCTTGTAGTCCCAGGGGAAGACGTGGTGGTAGTTGTGCCAGCCCTCGCCGAAGGCGACGTGCGCCACGAACACGTTCTCGGTGGGGGAGATGGACCTGCGGTCAGAGAGGTGGGCGTCAGGACAGGTACAGCCTCGGTACGTAGATGCCTCGGTGGAGGGCAGCACGGCTTACTTGTCGACGGGCCGCATGCCCCAGATGTGCGCCGCGGAGTTGACGAGCCAGGTGCCGTGCAGGGCCAGGGTGTAGCGCGCCATGGAGCACGCGTACCACGCCGTCCAGCCGCTCTCGCCCCACAGCTTGGCGGGCACCATGGCGGGCATCACGAAGGCGATCAGGGGCATCAGCACCAGGTAAAACCTGCGGCGGAAACGGACGAAAAATCAGAGACAGTGCACGGAGGTGCGAGGGCAGGCAGGGCAGGAACACGACGTACTTCTTCTGGAACATGACGATGGGGTCGCGCTCCAGGTCGCTGAGGTCCACGCCGGCGCCCTTGGTGCGCACGTCGGGGTGCTTGCGCACCATGAGCCACCCCATGTGCGAGAAGAAGAAGCCGCGGCTCGCGTTGTGCGGGTCCGCGTCCGTGTCCGTGAACTTGTGGTGCACGCGGTGGTCGCGCACCCACTCGTAAATGTGATTCTGCAATGAAACAGCAAGTCAATAACGCTCCTTAAATCGCCGAGCGATTCCGAACAGTGCTTCGTCACTCCGCCTCTCTCGCACCCCCTGCGCGCTCGCTGCGCGCCCCACGAGTGCGAGAGAGACAGCGAGGAAAGCTGTGTTCGAAATCAGCCAGCTGGGCCAGCTGGACCTGCCGCCCGTAAAGCAGGTGCCGTTCCTCGCGCCCTGCGTTGTTGCCCCCGGCTGCGGCCTTAGGCTGCGGCCGCCATGCGACCCCCTCCACTCCCCGTCCGACACGTCCCCGACGCGTCCCCGACACGGCCGCAGCGCTTTCACTGCTGAGGGCTCCTAGATGACGCGGCAGACGTCGTGCAGACCCTTGGCCATCCTATCGACCGGGCCCTTGTATTGGAAGAGCTGGAAGGGAAGGGCGGCCCCCTCCCCTCCCTTCCTGTTCACTCGCTGTCGCTGCGCGGCTACGCCACTGACCTGGAAGGCGAGGGTCTGGCACAGCATGAGCAGCGTCCGGAGCTGCCACTTGGCCTTGTAGGCGCGGTGCGCCCAGAGGCGGTGTGCGCCGGCGGTGATGCCCTCGGCACTCAGGCCGATGAGGAGCACGGCTGCGGGCAGAGACACGCAGGTCAGAGAGCACACACAAGTCACACACAATTTCGGATAAGAAAGGCAGGAAGCGACCAAGCTCGACCGTGAGAATAAAGAAACGATTTGAGGGGAACGCGCGACTGTTCCGCGGCCGCGGCGTGGCCCACGCGGCCCGTTCGCCCTTATCAGCGTGCTTGGCCGCCACTGCCGCCGGTGCCGCGTGCGCGCGGCGTGCCGCCACCGTACTCACTCCACAAGTAGGTGTAGAAGTGCAGCTGGCCGGTGAGGATGAGGTACACGCCGCGGACGGCGGCGTAGTGCAGGTACACGAAGGCGAGCACGTTCCTCCAGACGATCTTCCAGGCGTACGGGTCGGGCTTGGCCCTGTCGCGCAGCAGCATGGCGGTGGGCGTGGCCGTGGCGGTGGGCGACATGGGCGCCGTGGCGGTGGGCGACATGGGCGCCGTGGCGGGCTGCGCGACGATCTGGCCGACGGTCTGGCCGACGGTCTGGCTGACGGGTGCCATGGACGGCCGCGGCGCCGCCATGCTCGACATGCTGGGCAAGTGGCGCTGCTTGAGGGCGGCCGTCGGGCACACCGCGGCCTCCGCCAGGAACATGGTCGTCGTGCTGGTCACGTTAGGCGCCATGGCGGCTGTGCGCTACGCTGAAAAAAAAAACATCTGAGTTATTAAAGGATTCATGGAACGATCTGGTTAAATGTGACGTGCGCTTCGTTCGGGCAGGAGGCTGTACACTACACTCTAATGGTCTTTTTCTGCTGTTTTGAACGATTTCGCTCATGCATACACACGTGCAGTTTGAGCGATTTATGCATAATTGCGCACATTTAGCACGCAGTTTTAAAAGGGGGAGGGGAGGGGGGAATGCTCGAAGCCCGAGGTGCCGAGGAAATCAACCGCCCCGCAGAAGGCGATTTGTCGCCAGACGACGGTGCCTGCGCCTAGTCGACGTCGAGAAAGCCGTCCTCTGCTTTCGTCTTTTTGTCTTTTTCTCCTTTCCCTATCATCGCCATATCCTCGCGTCAATGCGCGTCGCGTATGAAAAATACAGCCGTCTTTTAACTCCGCTCTCCGCTAGCCGCGCCATTTGCCGCCGGCTTGCGCGGCTCGCGTGGCTTAACGGGGACTTTCTTCGGCCTCCGCGTGCAAGTCACGGTGGTCATGGCGCTGACTGGCGCGGCGCGGGTCGCGCGGCCAGGGCGTCCGCGTGCTGGAGGCTTGCCGGCGTACCCCCACTGCCAAATCGCGGATGGCACCTGTTCTACTTGGCCGTCGCTGAGAGAGCATGCCGCTGCAGCGGCCCTGTGAAAGGGTCCTCCGTGGCCCTCCAGCGGCGGCGACAGCAGTCCGAGCAGTCCACACTTTCTGGCGAAACTCCCCCCGCGGAGCTACGCGCGCTACGCCACTGCCACTGCCGGCCCATCTCCGCCCATCTCGTCCTCCGGGCCGCCATCGCGGTCCTGCCCGCCCCGTCGTCGCCGCGACAACGAGTCACGGTCATCTTCGCGACGGCGCCCTACGGTACCCTACCGGCCCCCGGCGCCCCCGGCAACAAGTATGCCGCGCCGGCGGACCGGGCCACAAGCTGGGCACCGCGACGGCAGCACGGCGGCACGGCACGGCACGGCACGGCCAGAGCGAGAGCGCCACACGCCACAATGGCGACCAACATATGGCACAAAAAGACCGGCCGGGCCCGGCTCGGCCCCTCACCGCCCGCGGCGTGGCCCGGGGCGCACGGCGCAGCACGACGCAGCACGACGGCGGCACTGCTTGCTCCGCGGCTGCGGCTGCGGCCCACTAGGCCCGCGGGTCGGCGACAAGCACGGCGACAAGCACGGCGGCAGCGGCCTCCTCTCGTCCACACCTGTAGGCGCGCGCACGCGCTGGCACACACGTAGACTCCCGCCGTGAACACTGCAGCATCCAGTGGCCGCGGCGCGGAGGAGTCCCCGGAGGGCGTAAGGCGGCCGGTGACGCGGCACGCCGACGTCCAGCCGTCCGGCCCTGGCCCTGGCCCTGGCCGTGACAATCGTGGCCCACAAAGCACGACGCGGCGGACGCGAAGCCGCGCCGGAAGAACAGTTACCGACAATGTCTAGAAGGAATGGGTCCGACCTGGCTGCCCGCACTAAGGTGGCCAGTTGGCAGTTCAGACATCTAGTGCACCACCATCAAGCCAAACGAGAAGTGTCTGTCTGCTGGTCACGTGTCACGCACGTTATGTAGGCAACCGCATCGGCCACGAGGAAACGCGGGGCGGGGAAGTCCGCGAACAGCGCACCGCCCCACCGCTCCACCACTCGTGCGGTCGAAAGGGTAGGGCCACTTTGACCGTATCAGTCGGTGCGGTGGGGCGTTGATGGTTCGATCACGTTCGGGACTACAAATGTAACACCCGACACTCGGATCGGCCCACTTACACGACACACATGCAATTGTTTTTTGTTTTTTCTAATTTTAAATTTTAAATTTCTTTTTGGTTGGGTCGGGCGGGCTTTCACCCCAGCGCCACCCCGGCGGGCGGAGCTCGGGGGCGCGCTGCGCCGCGGGAGAAAGCTGTGTGACGGGGTGCATGCCTGGCGAGAAATGCGCGGCCGGGGCGGGGCGGGGCGGGGCGGGGCGGGGCGTCGCGGGGGTGGCGGACGCCTCTCGCGGTGGCACAACCCTCGCGATGCCGCCAGAGGCCCGGGTGACGCAAGGCAGCGCCAGACCGAGTGCGGTCACCCGGAGCGACAGGGAACGGTGCACTCACCTACACATGCACCTGCACCAGTTTCCAACTCGTCCAAGAATCGTAGATCGAAACGCACAGCTATCTCCCTCGCCACTGTTCGCACAAGGTGGGTTCACTCGCGGTGTGCCGTGCGCGGTGTGCCCCCTGCGCCGGCCGGACCGCATCTGAGGAGGGCGGGCGTGCCGGCGACGAGCCCAAGCCGCCCGAGCCGCCCGAGCCCGACGACGCCTGCGTGCGCTTCGACAAAGCTATGCAACGCCACTTCCCATGCAAATTGTATCAATGCGTCACAAAAAGGCGTCGTCCGAGCATCCAAGTGCTGCTCAGCACACGGCATTTACCCTTTTTTCCCGCCAAGTTATTAGTTTTTTCTACGCCCGAAAAAAATGCGCTCGCCGGCGTCGCTGTCACGTTGCAGCTCGTAATGAAAGCAATGGCTGGCGCGGCGTTTAGATTCCTGGCGAATCCCCGAAAAAGGAACTCGGCGCGGCAGTCACGACCTGCGACGTCCGGGCGGTCCTGGCGTCCTGGAGCTGGAGGGCAAGGGCGAGACGCACGTGCGGCACGGCGTCCTGGTGGCAGGATGTTCCAAATCGTCCTTGCCTTCGCACGATCCGCCATCCGCCGCGCGAAGCAGCTCGCAAGTCGCGGCGACACGACAGTGAGTTTGGAACAAAAATCAGGCGACGGTCGGTTTTGGAGGAGATCGGATTGGAGGCAGCAGGCCGAGGCCGCGACGACGGGAAAGCTCCTCGCCGCACTGTAACGAGGTCCGAACGCTTGGGACACTTCACGCGAAAATAAAATGAGCGCCAGTGTTTGAAATGAGGCACGGCATGGTGCTCTTTTCATGTCGTTTGTCTGTATGGGACGACAACAACTATCTCTGACACTACGAAAAAAGGGTAGGGGATTTATCACAAATAAGCGCTAGGTTCGGACCTCCCCGGTACGAACTAAGCTAACGGGGGCTAATGAATATCTGGCATAAATATCCCCTAGTAATGCGCTTTGATTTTCACATCCACCAGGTACCCCCTAGCTTTTAATGGATTCAACCGCGGGACTCCTGGGGACTTTTGGAAGCAAGGAGGCATCAATTGGCCCTGCCCGTTTGCCTTATTTTCTTTACATTTCCGTTCTTGCCGGGCCTCGGAGCGTTCGAACGCGGCCCAGTCGCGGAAACTCCTCGGGCCCTGCTCACCTTTCGTCCGCGGGAAGCGGAGGACCTGATTGGCCCGCCCGGGTTTCCCTTTTTGGGCCCGAGTTACCGTTTGCCCCGGGCCTCGGCAGCGGCCAAAAAGGGGGAGGGGGCCGTGGCAGGCGGAAAAGAAGCCTCGCGCCAATGGGAAATCACCCCCCCAATGGGGGGTTTTGGGCGACCCGGGAAAAACGCCCGGGGCGGAAACCTTTCCCTAGGACACCACGTTTTCGGGGGCCCCGGGAATTCCCCTGGCCCAAGCAGTTACGCGGTGGGGCGACCCCAGGCGCGGGGGGCCGTAGGGGTGAGGGGGGGGGCAGGTGGACGGATGAAGCCCTCCCACCCTTTACTGTAAGTAGGCAAAAATGTCCTTCGCACCTTCCTCGGGCCGGGGGTCTCGAAACTTTGCCAACGTGGCGCATGACAGTCCCCTTACAGGCAGCCGGCGGGTTTAACCGTTCCGTAGGACAGTCCACGTTTTTGCGTGGCTGCCAGCGTCGCATTGCCCGGCATTGCCACAATGCGAGGCGGGGGTGGCGGCGGCCCCTCGGCCCTGGGTGGGGCGGGGTGGGGCGGGTGGGGCCGGGTGGGGCGGGGGCCGGGTGGGGCCGGGTGGGGCCGGGCATCCGAGCGCTGGTGTACGGACAGTAGGCACACTGTCGCTTCAGCACCTTGCTCGGAACGCCGGGCGTCATCGAAACTTATAGAACGCTGAATGCGTGGTCCCTGGACTGTTTAGTCCGTTACAGGTGGCGCAACAGCTCGCTGTCCGGGCTGTCAAATTTCGACATTTTTGACGTTCTCCAGACGCCTGTGGCTGCAGCACTGCGGCAGTCATCGCAACCTCCCGCGCGCCCTTTTTGGAACTTGCAAAAATTTGCAGTGTCCTAAAATTAGAGCGCGCTATTCACCCAGAGTCAAAATGTTGGCAGCCCGTTTTCTGAGCGCGCTGCGCAGGGCCAGGGAGGGTTCCCGCCGGTCCGCCACGGCCTTGGCCGGCCTTGGCCTCGGCCTCCGGCGGGCCTCACCTGCTGCAGGATGGGGGCGTCCACGACGAGCACCGCACGGACAGTGGCCGTCGGCCGGCACGGACGCGCGGCTCGTCGCGTGACTCTGATCTGCGCGATCTGGACATTGCCGGTAGAGCGCAGGCACAGCGGCGCAGCGCAGTGCAGCATCACCGTAGCCTGCCGACGGGCACCCGTCAGGCCGTCACGCACCCTTCCGTTTTATGCCACCAAGGTCGCTAAAGTTTGATCACGGAGTGTTTCAAACGGTCGCCCCGTGCGTGCGGTGCCGCGAGCGCACTGTCACTGCTGCACTGCCCTAACGGAACGAAGTGCATTACCTTCTCTCGCTGGGCGGGAAGAACGAATCCAACAGGTGGCCGCACTCACACACGCGCACTGGGGCGGACTGGCGGCCTGGCGGCGTCCACGCGGGCTGGGCGCTGGGCGCGCTTCGACGCGAGGCGGGGCCCCGGGCGCCCTCAAAGAATGCACCAGACTGCACGGTGCGCACTGCGCGGCGGCGAGGCCCTAGAGGCTGGCGGCCGGCGTGGCGGGTCGTGGCGGCGGGCCCAGGGCACTCCAAGCAGTGCCAAGCTGTGGCAAGCAGTGCCAAGCTGCGCAGGGCCGACTAACCTCGAATCTTGTCGAGTCGCAGTTCTAACGGCCGGGGCGCGGTGCGCGGTGCGGTGCGCGGTGCGCGGGGCTCCGGTCGGTGGTCGGCGACGAATGTGCGCCTCGTCGTGGCGGCGCTCGTGGCGGGGCGGGCGGGGCGCGGCGGGCGGCTCTCCAGCTGTACTCAGCACTTCCCTCGGCGGGCGCGGTGGACAGAATGGCCGGGGCCGACGGCGGCCCTCTCTCCTAAGCTCCGCGACACAAGGGCGGCGGAGGGGCACCCGGAGGGAAGGGCCTAGTGGGCCCGGAGGGCGGGCGGAGGGAGGGGGCACGCGCGCGGTGCGCGAGGTGCGCGCGGTGTGCGACGTGCGCGGGAGCACCCACGGCCCGCCCGGCCGAGTCCCGAGCCCCACGGTGCCCTAGCCACGGTCAATCAGGATTCAGGATATTATTTGCACACTCAGTCGAAAAAAGCCCCCAACCTTCCCGGAAGTGGCTATGTAAATTTGTCTTTAAATTTTTAAAATGTGCAGAAACTCGAACCCAATAGGATAAGGAATTCTAATCGGACCTGAGAAACAGCTAACAGGAGAACCCGACGCAGGGAAGGAGGGAGTCCTGCCGAAACGGCAAGGGCCAGCATGACGGTGGCGGTTGAAGCGAGGCATTCGCGTTGAGGACAGCACGGCCATCGGCTCGGCTGCCTCGGCCAGTCTCCCAGTTCATGCACGTGTGCGGCGGAAAGATGTTCGTTTGCCATCTGCCGCTGATGGCTACCGTTAGTGTGGCTGGCCACGTAAGTAGGAAAAAACTTCCCACGATTACGTCCGTGTGGAAAGGGTTGCCACTCTCGTCCCACCGGGCAATGCTCTTGACAAGTTGCCCCGCAGGCAGGCTGAGGCTGAGGATGGCAACCCTTCTCACATCGTGGGTACTTTCTGCAGAGAAGACACCTCCCCACAGAGCCAAAAAATTAGTAATTATCATGCAACGTTCAAGTGAGGTGTGTCAGCCACGGTTTGCTTTCTTTTTGGCAACCCTCGATTTGAGGTTCAAGCTTACAGTGCCTCCCCCTTTCTTTTCAGTATCATCCGAAGTAGTTTCGGGCCCCGCGGCGATGGCCGGCGAGCTTCGTCGGCGATTTAAACCGCCACGGCGCGGACGGGACGGCTGCTGAGGGGGCAATACGTAAGTCTGAACAGGCAGAGTCTTTGGCGAAGCCGAAGTCGTCGAGACGGTGAACAGCCGAAACCGCAGCAGCAGGCTGTTCCGCTCGTCGCTCTGTCTCCCTCGCACCCATGGGGGACGCCCCACGAGCGCGAGCGAGACAGAGCGGCGAGAGCCGTGCCCGGACCGCGCCGCGGAGCGCGGAGCTGCAGGTGCAGCGGTGGGCCGCGACGCGGCACGCCGACACGCCGACACGCCGCGTGTCCGCGGCCGCCACCTCCGCGATGCCGCCGCGATGCCGCGCTGCCGCGTTGCGATACCGCCCTTTCTAATTAGCGGAAAATTCTCCCGGCCGCTGTTTACCAGTTTACTCGAACCGCGGGGCCGGCAGACTGGCCGGCAGACTGGCGGGCGGGGCGTACGGTACCTGTTTGGCGAAAAGCGCTCCGTCATGGAGGCTGTGCGCCGCGCCGCGCCGCGCTGGGCCGGCTGGGCCCGCAGTGCAGCTGCCCGAACGGATTCCGAACGCAGCCAGCCACACGCCCACGCACCGACACTGCTGCGCAGTTTCGTTTACCAGTGTAGCGGGTGGAGCAGGGGCAGAGCCTTGGGCAGAGTCTTGGTGCCCCGCGCTGCGCGAGGCCGGCCAGCACAAGCTCCTCCGCGTTCGTTGGGTGGCCTGCCTGCGGGGCGCTGCCTGCGGGGCGCGCTACGTCCCGGCCGGCCTCTCCGCCGTCCCCGCGTCCGTAGGCAACCCATCCGGCACCTGTGACAGCCGCCGACGTGGCCTTAGCGTGGCCAGGCATGAGTCACTTTGATTGTTTCAACCTGCGTGAGGCTTTTTTGTGCGCACCATTCTTTGGATTATTCCATACAGCTATTGCTGCCAGGATTGGTTGGATTGTTGATCTCGCACCGACACGCTAATGCCCATCCGCGCGCGTACACAATTGTCTTGCTTTTTTAAGTGTAGACTTAGGTACTTAAGTCACCTTACCTGCCTTAGGCAGGTACTGGAAGGAATTAAGGTTGCCAACCGTTTTCTGTCCAACGGCCTTCAAAAACTTGGTGGCGCCGCAATAGGACACGTGATGTTGCAGTCACGTTTAGTGCATGCACGAACGCTGAAAAAAAAGAGGGTCCGTCCGGGATTTGAACCCGGGACCT